CACTTTTTCAGGTATCTATTGGCCATTCATATATCTTTATTTTTTTAAACTTTTATTTAATAAATATAAATTTCAAAAGTACAACTTTTGGATTATAGCGGCTCCCCCCCCCCATAACCTCCCTCCCACCTGCAACCATCCCATCTCCCACTCTCTTTCCCATCCTTCATCAACATTCATTTTCAATTATCTTTATATACAGAAGATCAACTTAGTATATACTAAGTAAAGATTTCAACAGTTTGCACCCACACAGACACACCAAGTATAAAGTACTGTTTGAATACTAGCTATACCATTAATTCGCATAGTACAACACATTAAGGACAGAGATCCTACATGGGGAGTGGGGAGTAAGTGCACAGTGACTCCTGTTGTTGATTTAACAATCGATACTCTTATTTATGATGTCAGTAATCACCCAAGGCTCTTGTCATGAGCTGCCAAAGCTATAGAAGCCTCTTGAGTTCACCAACTCCGACCTTATTTAGACAAGGCCATAGTCAAAGTGGAAGTTCTGTCCTCCCTTCAGAGGAAGGTACCTCCTTCTTTGATGGTTCCTTCTTTCCACTGTGAGTGATCTCACTCACAGAGATCTTTCATTTAGGTCATTATTATTATTATTTTTTTTTTGCCACAGTGTCTTGGCTTTCCATGCCTGAGAAACTCTCATGGGCTTTTTAGCTGGATCCAAATGCCTGAATGCCTGAATGGCTGATTCTTAGGCCCGAGTGCTGTTTTACATTCATATATCTTTAAAAATGTGTGTTTAAATCTATAAAAAAAATACTATTAAAAAAAATGTGTGCTTAAATCTTTTGACCATTAAAAATAAATCATGTTTTTTGTCCAGTTATTGATTTGTAGGTGTTTTTTCTATTTTGATACAGTTCATCAGGTATATATGTTGTGAATATTTTCTGGTCTGTGGCTTTCTTTTTTAGTTTTTAATATGTTTTGAAATGAGCAGAATTTTAAATTTTTGTGAAATTCAATCTATTCACTTTTTATTTGTGATTAATGTTTTCTATGTCCTCCCTAAGAAGTCATAACCTGAGCTGAGGTTGCAAAGTTTTATGTTTTTTCCTAGAAATTTTATGATACTGGCTTTTACATTTATGTCTAATTTATCTAAGTTAATTTTTTAGTGTGTTAGGTAGGAATCAGTCTTTTTAAAATATGAATATTCATTTGTTCCAGCACCATTTGTTGACAAAGCTTTCCACACTGAATATTTTGATTCTCTCGCTGAAAAATAATTTGTGTGAATTTATGGACTCAATGTTCTCTTTTATTTTATTTTTTTAAATTTTTTGACAGGCAGAGTGGACAGTGAGAGAGAGAGACAGAGAGAAAGGTCTTCCTTTTGCTGTTGGTTCACCCTCCAATGGCCACCGTGGCAGGCGCGCTGCGGCCGGCGCACGGTGCTGATCCCAAGGCAGGAGCCAGGTACTTCTCCTGGTCTCCCATGGGGTGCAGGGCCCAAGTACTTGGGCCATCCTCCACTGCACTCCCTGGCCACAGCAGAGAGCTGGCCTGGAAGAGGGGCAACCAGGACAGAATCCGGCGCCCTGACTGGGATTAGAACCCGGTGTGCTGGCGCCGCAAGGCGGAGGATTAGCCTAGTGAGCCGCGGCGCCGGCCTCAGTGTTCTCTTCATTAATCTTTTTACAAATAACATTATGTCTTGCTTATTGTAGCTTTATGATGAATTTTGAAGTTAGATGTGTTAGTTCTTCATATTCTGTCTTCCTTTTCAAAGTTGTTTCGGGGGCTAGTGTTTGACCTAATGGTTAAGATGCCTGTTAGGTTGGAGTGCCTGAGTTTAATACCCAGCTCTGGCTCTTGATTCCAGCTTCCTGCTAATGTGGATCCTGGGAGGGAGTGGTGATGCTTCTTGCTGTCTTGCTACCCATGTGGGAACTGGCTCCCCTGCCTTGGCCTCCCAGCCATTATGAGTGTTTCCCCAGCAGCAGAAGGGATCTCTCTCTCTCTTCCTTTCCTCCCTCCCTCCCTCCCTCCGTTTCAAAGAAGAAAAGAATTCAAAATTGTTTTGACTATTTTGGCTTTTTCTGTTTTTGTTTTCATTTCCATATAAATTTTAAAATTGGCTTGAATATCAACTTTTCTTTTCTTACAAGAAATCCTGCTGAAATCTTGATTGAGTTGCATTGATCCTATCAATTTGTGAAGAATTGAAATCTTTTAATCCATGAATTCAGTTTATCTCTCCACTAATTTAGGTCATTTTAATTTTTTCCTGTTAATGTTTTAAAAAATTTTGAGATCTTATATATTTTTGTTTAAACTCATTCATAAGTATTTTTTTTAACGCTAAATGGTATTGTTTTAAGTGTTTATTTCCCAATTGTTTATTTCCACTATATGGAAATACAATTGATTTTTGTATATTGAGTTTGTGTTTTGTTTTACTGTTAAATTTGTTTACTAGTTCTAGTAACTTTAAAATATAAATTCCCTGAGACTTTGTATATATCTGTGAATAAAGGCAGTTTTATTTCTTTTTTGATGCTTATGACTTTTGTTATTTTTCTTATTGCACTGGCTAAGATTACTAGTACAGTGGAAGGCTTGCTAAGAGTAAAATTCTTGGATTGTTCTTGATCTTAGGGGAAAAGTGTTCAATTTCACTGTCAAATATGATATTAGCTGTATAGTTACGATTTTCTTTTCTCCTTTTGCTTTTTTTAAATTTGGTAAAATGAACTTGCTATTGTCTTAACCATTTTTGAGAGTCAGTGGGATTAAGTACACTCACATTATTATACAATTGTTTCCAGTATCCATCCACAGAACTCTTCTTGTATTGCAAAACTGAAATTCTGTACTCATTAACAATGCCTACCTATTCTCAGTCCCTGGTGACCACCATTCTACTTTTTATCTCTATGAATTTGACTATTCTACGTAGCTCATTTAAGTGGAATTGTGTAGTATTTGTCATTTTCTGATTGGTTTATTTCATTTAGCCTAAGTTTAACAGTTATCCATGTTGTATCATGTATTATAATTTCCTTTTAGGGTTGAATAATATTCCATTGTATGTATTATATGTTTTGTTTATTCATTCACTGATGGACACTTAGTTTGCAGCTGTGTTTGCTGCTGCTATGAATGTGAGTATACATTAGTATATCTCCTTTTCAAAAAATTTGTTGAATTGATTTGAAAGAGAAAGCGACATTTTCTATCTGCTTGTTTGTTTTTTTTTTTCCTCAAATACTTGAAAAGTTGGGACTGGACCAGGCTTGGAAGTTGGGAGCTGGGAACCCAGTCCCATGTGGGTGGCAGGGACCCAGTTATTTAAGCCATCATCTATTGCCTCCTAGGTTGCACTTTAGCAAGAACCTGTTATCGGGAGCAGAGCTAGAATTTGACCCCAGGCAGTGCGATATGGAACTCTGGTGTCCCAGGCAGTGTCTCAACCACAATGCCGAGTGCTCACCCCCATTGTATCTCCGAGTCCCCACTTGGAATTATGTTGGATAATTGCTGGACCTGGACCGTGTAATTCTGTTTTTAGTTTCTGAGGAACTGCCAAACTGTTTTCCGTAGTGGCTTCACTATATTCCCGCCAGTACTGCACGTGAATTCAGCTTTCCTCTTCCTCACTAACCCTTGTTTTCTGTTTTTGATAGTAGCCATCCTAACAGCTGTGACACAGTATCTCATTGTGCTTTGTGCTTTTGATTTGTGCTTCCCCAATGATTAGTAATGTTGAACTTCTTTTTATGTGCTTATTGGCCATTTGTATATTTTCTTGGTGGAAATACCCACTTTTTGCCTATTTTTAAATTGGATTTTTTTGTGGGATATTGTCTGTTTTATTTGTAGGAGTTCTGTATTCTGGATATTAATCCCTTATTGAATACATGATGTGCAAATATTTCTCCCATTCCACAGGTTGACTTTTTATTCTGTTGATTGTGGCCTTTGATGAATAAAGTTTATAATTTTGATATTGTTCAGTTTGCTTATTGTTTTTATTTTTGGTTACCTGTAGTTTTGGTATCATATACCAAAAAGCCAGTGTAATGAGAAACTTCTCCTATATTTTCTCGTAAAAGTTTTTAGTTTTAATACTTTTTGATCCATTTTGATTTAATTTTATCTTTACTTTTTTAAAAGATTTATTTATTTATTTGAAAGAGTTAGAGAACAGGAGAGTTATCTTCCATCCACTGGTTCACTCCCTAAATGGCCACAGCACCTGAGAGCCAGGAGCAAGGAACTCCATGTGGGTGGCAGGGACCCAAATACTTGGGTCATCTGCTACTGCTTTCCCAGACACACTAGCAGGGAACTGAACTGCAAAGGGAGTAGCCTGGACTAAAGCCGGTATTCATATGGGATGTCAGTGTCACTGTATCACAATGCCTGTCCCTAACTATTAATGGTGTAGATGTTGTAAGATAAAGCCCAGTTTTACTTCTCTTGCAGATAGATATTGTTTTCTCAACACCATGTGTTGAAAACTCTTCTTTTCCCTTTGAATAGTCTTGGAAACCTTGTGGGAAATCCTTGGATCACATGTTAAGGAGTATTTATTTCTGGATTTTGTAGTCTATCACATTTGTGTATTTGTCACATTGTTTTGATTATTGTAGCTTTGTAGTAAGTTTTGAAATCAGGAAACTATAGGTTTCTTTGTAGATGCCCTTTATCAGCTTGAGAGAGTTCCAGATTATTCCTATTTTGCTAAGAGTTTTTAATCATGAATGGAGTCAAAATTTTCAAATACTGTTTCTGCAACCTGGATATTTAGGCTGTTACTATGGTGAGTTATTGAAATCTGAATTTTGAAAGTTGAACCAGCCTTATAATCATGAACTAAACCTCACATGATCATGATGTATTATAATTTTTATATCATGCTGAATTCACCCTGGTAATATATTTTCTTTTTCGAAGATTTATTTATTTATTTGAAAGAGTTTTAGAGACAAAGAGAAAGGGAGGGAGGGAGGGAGGGAGGGAGAGAGAGATCTTTCATCTATAGTTCATTCCCCAGATGACCTCAGTTGCTAGGGCTGGGCCAGGCTGAAGCTAGGAGCTTTTTCCAGGTTTCCCATGTGGGTGGCAGGGATACAAATACTTGCACCATCCTCTGCTGCTTTTCCCAGGCTTTAGCAGGGAGCTAGATTGGAAGTGGAACATCTGGGACTCAAACCTGGGACCATATGGGATGCTGGCGTTGCAGGCAGTGGCTTAACCCTGCTGTGCCACAGCACCAGCTCCACTTGATAGTATTTTGTTATTAGATTTTTGTGATTATGGTCATAAGAGCCATAACCTTAACCTCAGTGTCATACTTCCTCCAGAGTAATTTTTTCTTTAACACTTTGTTATAGGCACATTCCCTTTTATTTGTGCCCATTGGTGTAAGTTTGTGTTTCTGTAAACCAGTTAATTGGCTTTCTACTTCAGTTTTGACATCTCCATCTAGTGGTCTGTTCTGGAAGCAGAGGTGAAACTTTGTGGTAATGGTTGGTGTGTATTTCCACTTAGTCCACAAGGTGGCAACAGGCCCTAACTGAAGAGCAAAGAATGAAGAATGAGGAGTGAGGACTTAGATTGAAAAAAAAAAGGGGGGGGGGGGGAATCAGTGCTTACAGAACTCATAAGAAAACAGAATAGGAAAGCAAGATTTTCTGAAAAGTAATACCACTGGGCTTCAAAATCTGAGAGAAGGGAGTTAGACCATTACATCATTCTAAAAGCATAAACTCAGAAATACATGAGAATCCATTTTGCTGTCCTCCCCCCCCTTCCCTCTCAAAATGTCAAAATCTTGGCTTATTCAGTGGATATCCACTTTTCTTTGAATATTGGGGGAATAAGGTGATGAAGATGGAAGTGTAAGGTAACAGAGCAGACCCTTAATGTAATGGTATCTGAATTTTGGGGAGCCTGGGACAAGATAGATAAGCTCTTCTATCTAAACGTTGAGACCTGCTTCCTGGGAGACAGCAGGAAGAAGCCCTGTGCTGTCTCTTGGTTCTGAGACTCAATTCCTCTGGAGTCCAGTTGTGAATTTTTTAGTCTCAGTTGTGGAATTTTCTTATAAAAATGGAAATGGGAGAATGGATTTTCCTGGACAAAGAATTGTTTAAGATAGCAGTGAAGGAACAAGTCAGCTGAGGTGAGGTGAGATTCCAGCAACCTGTGGATAAAATGTATGGGGTTGTAAAAATTAGAAGAAAGGCTTGTGGTGAGTTTTTAATGCTCCCTGAAGTAACTAAACAGAGAAAAGATTTGGGTAAGATGGTCCTGCTTTCCAGTTGAAGATAATTGATGGGAAACGGAATATTTTGTATAAATGCATTTGGAGTAAGGATAGTATATATGCTTTAGCCATTGAAGTATGGTTCATATTTAAAATATGGCACATGTGTCAAAAATTTCAAATACAGTATTGTTGGTGCAGTACCTGTTATATGCCATATGTATCAAACTAAGTTGAAAGTGATGTTGCTTAATGAACTATAACTGAATATTATGAAGCGGGAATAACAGCAATTGAAAACCACCACAATGCATTAACAGTGGTAGTGGATTTCTGAGAACGGAAAGATTTCTAGTTGATTTTGTGAGTACATTTGCAGAACAATCTTTGCAACTTTGCCACATTCTGTGGCAGCCACACTTTGTAGAATACTGAAGAGTCTTGGTAATTTTAGTTTATAAATGCCAGGTTTTCTTAACAGTCAGTTGAAGGTAGACTTTACTCATAGGTAGAAATAAATTGAACATCAGTTGCTCATAAAATGAATAACTATTGGATTAATTCACTAGGAGAATCTTTTTAAGTTTATACCTTGACTATTAAGGGGCTAAAAGGTGGAAGAAAGAGAAGATAGAGGACTAGCTATGGCTAGCTAGGAGGAGGCTTGGTGTAATGGGACTTGGATGCTAGATGTGAAATAGGGAGCGTTTCTCTTGTGACTTAATGCAAAATCTTAACCACTGTGTATTTATACGTGTGTGTGGGGATGTCCGTGTGTATGCACAGATGTTTATAATAATAGTTCTGATACTGTTGATAAGATTACTGCCAATTACATGGTTAGTTCAGTTGACCAAAGTTATTTGTTGTGTGATCTAACAAATGATTCCAGGAATTGTTTTCCTTGTGTTGACTGGAGTTGATTTATGTAACTGAAGAGGAAATAAAGTCTTATGGAATTTTTATGCTGGAGCTTTTGGTTTGTTGTCTGGATCATTTCGCATGTCAGTCGTCTAGGAATCTGTCAACACAGTTAATATGCAGTAAAAGTCAGGCTCTGAACACCATGGTCCTTTTTTTTTTTCAAAGAGATTTTTTAAAAAAAGATTTATTTATTTGAAAGGCAGAGATACAGAGAGAGAAGGAGAGAGAGAGAGGGAGGGAGGCGGGGAGGGAGACTGTTCACTAGTTTAATTCCCAGATGGCTGCAGTGACATGGCCAGGAGCTCCAGGATCTTCTTGCGGGGCTCCCACATGAGTCCAGGGGCCCAAGGATTAGGGACATCTTCCTCTGCTTTCTCAGGCGCATTCACAGGGAGCTGGATCAGAAGTGGAGCAGCGGGGCCTTGAGCCAGTGCCTGTATGGGATGCTGGCACTGCAGGTGGAGGCTCAATCTTTATGCCACAGCAATAGCCTCTAAACACCATTTTCATCAACATGATCTTAATCATGAGATTGAGCCTCTCTCTCACTTCCTCCATCTCTCCCTCTTCTTCCCTATCCACCCCCCTGCCCCCAATCAGTACAATTACAAGGAGAGGTATCCTCAAGATAGTTTATTGGGAAGTATATAATTTTTCTTGGGGCCCAGAGGCAGAACTTGGAATTAAATTTTCTGATGACCCAAAACCAAGGAGATTCGTTTCTCATTATTCTCCGGTCAAATGGAGGCTTTTTTCTCGTTTGCTTTTCTTTCTTGTGCTTTTTTTTATATTTTTTTAAGATTTATTTATTTATTTGAAAGAGTTACGCAGAGAGAGAGAGGTTGTCCATCCGATACTTCACTCGCCAATTGGCCACAATGGCCGGAGCTGCACTGATCTGAAGTCAGGAGCTTCCTCTGGGTCTCCCATGTGGGTGCAGGGGCCCAAGGACTTGGGCCATCTTCAACTGCTTTCCCAGGCCATAGCAGAGAGCTGGATCAGAAGCGGAGCAGTTGAGACATGGATCAGTGCCCATGTAGGATGCTGGCACTGCAGGTGGTGGCTTTACCTGCTATGCCACAGCACCCCCCCCACCCCCGTTTGTTTGTTTATTTACTTATTTGAAAGGCAGAGTTACAGAGAGAGAGAGAGAGACAGAGAGAGATCTTCTGTCTACTGGTTCACTCTCCAAGTGACCACAACTAGGATCTTCATCCAGTTCTCCCAGGTGGGTGGGGGCTCAAGTACTTGGGCCACATGCCACTACTTTCCCAGATGCATTAGCAGGGAGCTGGAATGGAAGTGCAGCAGCTAGGGATTGAACTGGTGCCCATACTGGGTGCCAGTGTTGCAGGTGTCAGCCACACCACCAGCACTATCATCTGCTTTTCTGATGCCTCTGGTTCATATTTGTTGTCTTTTTCAGACTGATTATTTGCGTTTATATGTTCATGATGGAAAAAGACTTCCCTACCCTCTCCTGGTTCTAAATATCCAAACCACTACAGACTTGAGTTTAAATTTTAGAAATTCAGGAAAGAGGATAAGCCTAGATTGGCTCAGGTGTCCGTTTGTCTTGTCAACAGCTATGGTTCATTGACTATTCAGTAGAAGCCATTGGGATGTTGTTAGGTGAATATGAATAGGGCAGGCAAACTGCTGACATGATTAGGTTCAGTCAGGAAACAGGCAGCATGGAGGCTGTGGAAACTGACCATGAAATATGGTATTTGAGGGATAATCAACAGGCAGGGAAATTCAGGGGCATGGATTGATTAGGAATTATTTGCTGGGTCTGGAATGGGAGAGGATTGGGATCTGGAAAATCCAGATTCTAGGTGATGCTTGAAATTTGACAAGTATAGGAGATAATGCTTTCAAACTACCCAGTTATTAGCTAACAGGTCTGATATTAACACCCAGATTCAGAGCTGGTGCTTTGGCGAAACGGGTTAAAGCCTTGACCGGAAGCGCTGGCATCCCATATGGGCCCTGGTTCTTGTCCCGGCTGCTCCTTTTCCAATCCAGCTCTCTGCTAATGTCCGGGATAGCAGTAGAAGATGCCCAAGTCCTTGGGCCCCTGCACCCACGTGGGAGACCCAGAAGAAGCTCCTGGCTCCTGGCTTCGGATCAGCACAGCTCCAGCCATTGTGACCATCTGGGGAGTGAACCAGCAAATGGAAGACCTCTCTCTTGCTCTCTACCTCTCTCTCTAACTCTGTCTTTCAAATAAATAAAATCTTTAAAAAGGGGTCAGTGCTGTGGTGCCGCGGGTTAATGCCCTGGCCTGAAGCGCCGACATCCCATATGGGCGCCGGTTCTAGTCCCGGTTACTCCACTTCCAGGCCAGCTCTCTGCTATGGCCTGGGAAAGCAGTAGAAGATGGCCCAAGTCCTTGGGCCCCTGCACCCATGTGAGAGACCTAGAAGAAGTTCCTGGCTTCAGATTGGCGCAGCTCTGGCCGCTGCAGCCGTCTGGGGAGTGAACCATCGGATGGAGGATATCTCTCCCTTTCTTTCTCTCTGCCTCTCCTCTCTCTGTGTAACTCTTTCAAATAAATAAATAAATCTAAAAAAAAAAAAAAAAAAAAGACCCAGATTCTTGGTCTTGGAATAGGGGTGACCAGGTGAGCTAAGAGTATAACTGGGACTCATTACAGATACTCAGGCATGCTTAAGAGCTTAATTTTAGTGACAATGGCCATCTGTAACACTTGGTGTACTATTTTGCCTAGGACCTATTTGAATACTTACCTGGTGACAAGGTCTGAGGTTGTCTATGTATGCACATATGTATACACACACACACACACACACACATACACACATGGAAGATACTGGTGAGTGATTCTAAGATTTAAGGATTTCAGGAAATGTTAACTGAAAATAATTCTTTAATAATTCACATTTTTGGATTGTTGCTTTCTGGAGTTGAAATCCCAGAGTGACTTTATTCCTTTGCCTTCTCCCTAGAAAGTTTTCTCTCTCAAGTGTATTTTGGGATGAATTGTATTTGAACAGTTTAGATGTGTAGTACTTGGGTCTAATTCCAGGAAAATGGTTTAATTAGCTATTTGACTTCACTGAGATCAGAATTTTTTTTTAAAGATTTATTTATTTGAAAGAGTTACAAAGAAGGGGAGGCAGACTCAGGGAGAGAGAGGGAGAGGGAGGGAGGGAGGAAGGGAGAGAGAAAGACAGATATCTTCCATCTGCTGGTTCATTCCCCAAATGGCAGCAACCGTCAGGGCTGGGCCAGGCCAAAGACAGGAGCTGCACTTGGGCCATCTTCTGCTTTCCCAGGCACACCAACAGGGAGCTGGATCAAAAGTGGAGAGGCTGGGACTTGAACTGGTGCCCGCCCATATGGGATGCTGGCGTCAAAGACAGAGGCCTTAACTGCTATGCCACTAGCTCAACCCCCAGGATTTTTTGTATTTTTATTTTTTAGACACCATAATTTTGTCCCTTATGAGGTTTGTTAGAAGCATACCTGAAGAAAAAAATTTTTTTTTTGGCATTAGTGAATGAGGTGATCAAAAAATCTTCTTTCCCAAAAGCAACTGTAAAATTGGACAGAACTGTTAAAGACAACCAAAGGCTTACACACATTGAACACAGTGAACTTGGGTGTAAGTTTGTGGTGTTGCTTGGGATTGCTCCCATTTCTCCTACCTTTGACACAGTGGTAGTTCAACTAAAATGGGGAGACCATGAAAACCAACAGGTTTACTTCTGCTTAAGGAGGAGTTTAGTGGATTTGGAGTATTGTCAGAAGTGATGATCTTGGTGGCAAATGAAATGGGGGTGGGGTGGGGTGGAGGCAACAAATCTGCTAGCCTGAGGATACAATTCTGTTTTGGACAAACAGTGGCCTGACTAGCTTGGGCTTTTTCTTTATTTCTTTCTTTAAACAGATTTATTTATTTATCTCTTTGTTTATTTGAAAGACTGAGTGACAGAGGGAGGACACACGCACAAAGAGATCTTTCTCGAATGGCCAAGGCAAAGCCAAGAAAGTCAAGAAGTCCATCCTGGTCTCCCCTATGGGTGGCAGGTGCCCAAGCTCTTGAACCATCATCTGCTGCCTCCAGTATGCATTAGTAGGAACCTGGATTGAAAGAAGAGTAGCTGGGACACTTAACTGGCAATCTGGTAGGGATTTGGACATTCCAAATCACTAAGCCACAACATCTGCCCCTTGCTTGGTCTTGGGTTTGGGAAGGTCTGAGAGGTGAGACAACTACAGGGAGGTTAACAAGTTTTCCAGATATCCTGAGTTGACCAGAGGTTTTATTTTTATTTATCATATTTTTTAAAGAACATAGAATTTGTTTTGTTTTTGTTTTTTAGAAGGAGCTTTATTTATTTACTTAAAAGGCACCGTGATAGAGGGAGGCAGGGAGGAAGGGCAAGAGAGAGACTCCGTAGTTTTCCATCTGCTGGGTCACTCCTCAAATATTCACAATAGCCAGGGCTGAGCCAGGCTGAAGCCAGGAGCCAGGAACTTCATCTGGTCTCCCATGTGAGTGACAGGAAGCCAACTATTTGGATCATCCTCTATTGCCTCTCAAATATATTAATAGGAAAATGGATGGGAAAGCAGAGGTGGAACTTGATACCGGGCACTCTGCTATGGGATGCAGGTGTCTCAAGTGACAGATTGATTTGCTTCACCACAACACCCACCCTGACCAGAGGTTTTATGCACTTCAGAAACCAGTGTGATGTGAGGCTCTGCACATATCCCTGACCAGTGCAAGGGATGTGTGAGAAAGCAACCCAGAAGAGAGTAAAAACAGACTTGAAGTCCTGAAGTATATGCAGCTCATTATGACCACGGATCCATCAATGGGGAGTGAAAGGCTTAAGGTTAGTTGAATTCCACTTCTGACTAGTCTTTGAACAGTAAACTATGCAAAGAGGTGACCTCTGGAAGTCAGGCTTCAAAAAAAAAAAAAATGACGTGAGGGCTAGGAGGACCTTATGTATCGGATCAGAAACCACAACACTACAGGGGAGGCAGACATCACAAATTTAGTCAGCATTGTTAGCAATTTCTACTGTTTTTGATTGGAAAAAGAATCCACCTTTTTTTTTTAAGATTTATTTTATTGATTTGAAAGAGTCACAGAGAGAGGTAGAGACAGAGAGGTCTTCCATCTGCTGGTTCACTCCCCAATTGGCCACAATGGCCAGAGCTGTGCCAATATGAAGCTAGGAGCCAGGAGCTTTTCCGGGTCTCCCACGTGGGTGCAGGGGCCCAAGGACTTGGGCCATGTTCTGTTGCTTTCCCAGGCCGTAGCAGAGAGCTAGATCAGAAGAGGAGCAGCCGGGACTAGAACTGGTAACTATATGGGATGCGGGCGTTTCAGGCCAGGGCGTTAACTTGCTGTGCCACAGCACCGGCTCCCCAGAATCCACAATTTCTTTTTCTTTTTTTTGACTATTTTTTAAAAAACTTATTTAATAAACATAAATTTTGAAGAGAATCCACAATTTCTAACAGCACTTTAGTTTAAATGTTCAGTGTTCAGGAAAAAAATTATAAGACAAAGTTTGATCCATACTGAGGGGAAAGAAAATCAGTACAAACTGAGTGAGCCCATTACTATTCAATATAGTTCTGGACGTTTTAGCCAGAGACATTAAGACAGAAACAAAATCAAAGGGATATGATTTTTTAAAGAATTCATTTAATTGAGAGGCAGGGTTATAGACAGAGGGAGAGACCGAGATCTTCTATTGGCTGGTTCACTCCACAAATGGCTGCGAACAATTGGGCTGGGCCAGGCTGGAGCCAGGAGCCAGGAGCTTCTTCCAGGTCTCCCACTTGAGTCCAGAGACCCAAGCACTTAGGCCATCTTTTACTGCTTTCCCAGGCCATTAGCAGGGAGCTGGATCAGAAGTGGAGCAGCCGGAACTTGAACTGGTGCCCGCTTGGGATGCCAGCCTTGGAGGCAGAGGCTTAACCTACACCACAGCACTGTCCCTAGGGATGCAGATTTGAAAGAAGGCAGGCAAATTATCCCTGTTTGCAGATGACATGATCTTATAAATGGGGAAACCAAAAGATTCCACTAAGAGACTATTGGAGCTCATAAAGTTTGGTAAAACTGCAGAGTATAAAATCAGCACATACAAAAATAGCCTTTGTATACACAAATAATTCTATGACTGAAAAAGTACTTGTAAAGTCACATTCACAATAGATACAAAAATATTAAATGCCTTGGAATAAATTTTACCAAGGATATGAAAGATCTCTACAATGAAAATTAGAAAACATGAGATAGAAGATAATATCAAAAAATGGAAAAAAATCTTCCAAGTTCATGAATTCGAAGAATTAATATCTCATCAACATGTCCATACTGCCCACAGCAGTTTACAGATTCAGTGGGATCCCAATCAAAATAACAAGGACATTCTTCTCAGATCTAGAAAAAAAAAAAAAAAAACCAATACTAATATTCACATGGAAACACAAGAGACCCCAAATATCAAAAGCAATCTTAACCAAAACAGAGCTGAAGGCATCACAATACCAGCTTTCAAGACATACTATAGGGCAATTATAATCAAAACAGCCTGGTACTGGCACAAAAATAGACATGTAGACCAATGGAACAGAATAGAAACCCTAGAAAACTTAAAATTATGTGTTGATTTAGGAGGCAGAGTTACAGGCAGGGAGAGACAGAGAAAGGTCTTTCATCTGCTGGTTCACTCCCCAAATGGCTGCAATAACTGGAGCTGAGCCAATCAGGAGCCAGGAGCTTTTTCTCAGTCTCTCACGTGGGTACAGGGACCCAAGCACTTGGGCCATCTTCTGCTGCCTTCTCAGGCTGTTAAGTAGAGAGTGGATTAGAAGAGGAGCAGCTGGGACATGAGTCTGCACCAATATGGGATGCTGACACCTCAGGCGGTGCCCTACCTTACACCTTATACAAATATCAATTCAGAATGGATCAAGGATCTAAATGTATGACCTGATACCATCAAATTACTAGAAGAAAACATTGGGGAAACTCTTCAAGACATTGGCATGGTAAAGACTTTTTGGAAAAGACCCTGGAAGCACAGACAATAAAAGCAAAACTAGACAAATGGGGTTACATCAAGCTAAGACACTTCTGTACTGCAAAGGAAACTCAACAAAGTGAAGAGGCAACTGACAGAATGGGAGAAAATATTTGCAAACTATGCAACTGTTAAAGGATTAATATCCAGGATGTATAAGGGGCTGAAGAAACTCAACAACAACACAATAAGCAATCCAGTTAAGAAATGGGCAAAGGACATGAACAGGCATTTTGCAAAGGATGAAATACAAATGATTGACAAGCAAATGAAAAAATGCTCAAGATCAGTAGCCATCAGGGAATTGCAAATACTGAGGTTTTTATCTCACCCCAGTTAGAATGATCATCATCCAAAAATCAAAAAATAATAAATGCTGGTGAGGATGTAAGGAAAAAGTTACTCAAATACACACTGTTGGTTAGAATGTAAACTAATATAACCATTATGTAAGACAGGTGGAGATTTCTCAGAAATCTGAAAAGAAACCTACCATATGACACAGCCATCCTGTTTCTGGGAATTTACCCAAATCAGCATATGAAAGAGTTATTTGTACCCCCATGTTGATTATAACTCAATTCACAATAGTTGAGATAAGCAATCAAGCCAGATGTCCATCAACCAATGACCAGATAAAGAACATGGTGTGTATGTGTGTGTGTGTGTGTATATACATACATACATACATACATACTATGAAGTACTACTCAGCCGTAAAATGAGATCATATCTTTCACAACAAAATGGATGCAATTGGAAACCATTCTGCTTAGTGAAATAAGCCAGTCCCCAAAAGACGAATATTATATACTTTATCTGATATAAAATACAAAAAGTGAAAAGAAATAAAACAGACATCTTGTGATTTGCTTGTTTTTAGCCCTTGTTTATACACCTGTTGAACTACCTTTTACTTGTTGAATATTATGGTTAGTGGTACATTAAGCTTGTGATTACAGAGTGACTTGAAATTATGTTTTTGCAAAAAAAAAAAAGGATTGAGGGAGGGGAAAATGTTATATTCTTAGAATTGTACCTATGAAAATATGTTCTCTTTATAAACATTTTTTTTTCAAAGTTAAATAAACTGAGTGAGCCCCAGATACTGGATCTGACGCACAGACTTCAAAGCAACCATTATAGATACTTAAGAGAAATAAAGAGAATCATATTTAGAGAATTAAAAGGAAATATGCTGACAACGATTTAAAACAAAGAGTTCTCCATTAAAAAATTACGAGAAAACTAAAGCCATGGAATTGAAAAGTATAATTGAAATAAAAACTAGGAGGGACTCAATAGCAGATTTGAGATGGCAAAAAAAAGAATATTCTGGGCCATAAAATAAACTTCAGTTATTTATTTATTTATTTATTTATTTATTTATTTTTTGACAGGCAGAGTGGACAGTGAGAGAGAGAGACAGAGAGAAAGGTCTTCCTTTTGCCGTTGGTTCACCCTCCAATGGCCGCCACGGCTGGTGCGCTGCGGCTGGCACACCGCGCTGATCCGAAGGCAGAAGCCAGGTGCTTCTCCTGGTCTCCCATGGGGTGCCAGGCCCAAACACTTGGGCCATCCTCCACTGCCTTCCCGGGCCACAGCAGAGAGCTGGCCTGGAAGAGGGGCAACCGGGAAAGAATCCGGTGCCCCGAAAGGGACTAGAACCCAGTGTGCCAGTGCCGCTTGGTGGAGGATTAGCCTATTGAGCCGCGGCACCGGCCCTAGTTATTTTCAAAGATTGAAAATCCTACAAGATGTGTTCTTTGACCACATGAACTTAATTTAGAGATCTAGAACAGGATAAAATCCGTAGTCTGCTCAAATACTTGAAATTAAAGAATACAAATGATTTACAGATGAAAGAAGACATTCTACAGCAAAATTTAACACTTTTAATTGAATGAAAGTGCAAATCCAACATATCAAAATGTATTAATGTAGCTAAAATAGTACTTGGAGGAAGACTTAGTTTTTGCAGTGCCTGTACATTAGAAAAGTAGAAGTGTCCCAAGCAGTAACCCACACTTCCATCATAAGAAACTAGGTAAAGACCAAATTAAACTAAAAGCAAGCAAAAAGAATGAAATACTTTATGAAGATTAGAATGGAAAATGGAAAAACAGAATAAATCAATGAAACTAAAAGTTGATTCTTTGAAAAAATGAACAAAATTGAATTTCTACCTATATTGACAAAAAAAAAAAAAAAAAAAAGAGGCCATAAATTACCAGTAGAGGGGATATCATTACAAATTAAAAGAGTTAAAATTTCAAGAATAACTTTATTCCAACAAATTAGACAAGTTACATGAAAAGGACAAATTCCTAATGCAAATTATCTAAACTGACTTAAGAGGAAATAGAAAATATGAATAGACCTGTCATAAAGAATAACCAACAGGCCAGCACCGCGGCTCACTAGGCTAATCCTCCGCCTGCGGTTCTGTTCTGGTTGCTTCTCTTCCAGTCCAGCTCTCTGCTGTGGCCTGGGAGGGCAGTGGAGGATGGCCCAAGTGCTTGGGCCCTGCAACCACATAGGAGATCAGGAGGAAGCACCTGGCTCCTGGTTTTGGATCGGCGCAGCGCGCTGGCCGTAGCAGCCATTTGGGGGATGAACCAACGGAAGGAAGACCTTTCTCTCTCTTTCTCTCTCTCACTAACTTCCTGTCAAAACAAACAAACAAACAAACAAAAAACAAAAACAACCCTACAAAAAGAAGCCCAAACCCAGGTGATTTCATTGGTGAATTCTAATATTTAAGAAGCAATAATGGGCCGGCGCCATGGCTCACTAGGCTAATCCTCCGCCTAGCGGCGCTGGCACACCAGGTTCTAGTCCCGGTCCGGGCGCCGGATTCTGTCCCGGTTGCCCCTCTTCCAGGCCAGCCCTCTGCTGTGGCCAGGGAGTGCATTGGAGGATGACCCAGGTGCTTGGGCCCTGGACCCCATGGGAGACCAGGAAAAGCTCCTGGCTCCTGGCTCCTGCCACCGGATCAGCGCGGTGCGCCGGCCGCAGCGCGCCGGCCGCGGTGGCCATTGGAGGGTGAACCAACGGCAAAAGGGAGACCTTTCTCTCTGTCTCTCTCACTGTCCACTCTGCCTATCAAAAATGAATAAATAAAAAAGAAGCAATAATGCTAATCCTTCATAAACTCTTAGAAGAGTTGCTGGTGTTGTGGCGCAGCAAGTTAAACCATGGTACTGTTTTGAGTCCTGGCAGCTTCACTTCCGATGTAGCTCCCTGCTAACACTCCTGGGAAAGCAGCAGAAGATAGCCCAAGTAGGCCGGCGCCGCGGCACACTAGGCTAATCCTCCGCATAGCGGCGCCGGCACACCGGGTTCTAGTCCCGGTCGGGGCGCTGGATTCTGTCCCGGTTGCCCCTCTTCCAGGCCAGCTCTCTGCTGTGGCCAGGGAGTGCAGTGGAGGATGGCCCAGGTGCTTGGGCCCTGCACCCCATGGGAGACCAGGAAAAGCACCTGGCTCCTGGCTCCTGCCATTGGATCAGCGCGGTGCGCCGGCTGCAGTGCGCCAGCCGCAGTGCCCCAGCCGCGGCGGCCATTGGAGGGTGAACCAACGGCAAAGGAAGACCTTTCTCTCTGTCTCTCTCTCTCACTGTCCACTCTGCCTGTCCAAAAATACACAACATAATCTAAATATAATGAAGATAGCCCAAGTCTTTTGGGCCCTCCTGGCTTCAGCCTTACCCAGCTCTGGTCAATGTGGCCATTTGAGGAGTGAACCAGCAGATGGAATCAATCTCTCTCTCTCTGTAATTCTGCCATTCAAATAAAAATTCTTCAAAAAAAAAAAAAAAAAACCAAATAGAAGAGGAGGGAATGCTTTCTTACTCATTGTGTGAGCATATTAATTTATTTATAGCAATGCCAAATAAAGATAGGAAAACTGCAGACCTGTATCTCTTATGAACAATAAAAAACTTGAATCAGAGTATTAGCCAGCAAAATTTAGCAGCATGTAATGATTATATTCCATGGCCAATTGGGATTTATTCCAGCAATGCAAGCTTGGATTGATACATACAAATCAATCAATGCAGTATGCCAAATGTCAACCAATATTTTGAAAGGCAGAATAGTAAATATTTTAGGCTTTCAGATCATACAGTTTCTGTTGAAACAACTCAGCTCTGCTATTTCACTGCCTAAGCAGCCATAGGCTATATATAATATTTTCCAGGAAAACTTTATTATAAAAATAGACAGTTATGGCCAGCAGGTTAAGCTGCCACTTGTGACACCAGCATCTCAAACTAGAGTGCCAGTTTGCGTCCTGGCTGTCCTGCTTTCAATCCAGTTTCCTGCTAATGAGCCTGGGAAGGCAGCAGAAGACAGCCCAGTACTGGGGCCTCTGCCATCCAAGTGGGAGACTAAGATGAGTTCCTGGCTCCTGGCTTTGCATGGCCCCGACCTGGCTGTTAAGCCATCTGGGAGAGTGAATTAGCAGATGGAAGATATGTCTTTCCTTTCCTTTCCTCTGTGTCACTCTGCCTTTCTTTTCTTTTCTTTTCTTTTCTTTTCTTTTCTTTTCTTTTCTTTTCTTTTCTTTTTTTTTTAAAGTTTTACTTATTTATTTGAAAGAGTTACAGAGAGAGAGGTAGAGACAGAGTGAGAGTGAGAGAGAGAGAGAGAGAGAAAGTCTTCCATCTGCTGGTTCACTCCCCAGATGGCTGCAATGGCCAGATTGCGCCAACCTGAAGCCAGGAGCCCGGAGCTTCTTCTGGATCTCCAGCGCAGGTGGAGAGGCCCAAAGATTTGGGCCACCTTCCACTGCTTTCCCAAGGCCATAGAAGGGAGCTGGATTGAAAGTGGAGCAGCTGGGACTCGAACCGGTGCCTATGTGGGATGTTGGTGATGTGCCATAGCAGGTAGTGATGGCTTTACTCACTATGCTATAGTGCCAGCCCCAACACTCTGCCTTTCAAATACATGAATACATCTTTAAAACAATAGTTGATATACAGGTCATAGTTGCTGATTTCTGTATTGTATCACATTGGCAAAATAAAGGTAAAAAACAAAATGCAGGCATTTGGCCTAGTGGTTGAGATGTTGATTAAGATGCCTGATTCCATAGCAGTGTGTCCTAGGTTTGGTACTGCCTTCTTCTCACTGCTAATGCAGACCCTGTGAGGTGGTGGTGATAGCTCAAGTAATGGGGTTCCTGCCATCCATGTGGGGGACCTGGATTGAGTTTCCTGGCTCTTAGCTTTGGTCTCTGCACAACTCTTACTATATGAGCATTTGAGGAATGAACCAGCAGATAGAAGCTTCCTATTTGCCCTTTTCATTCTCTGTTTCTTTACCTCTCAAATCAATAAAGTAAAACAAAACAAAATGAAACAAAACAAACAAACAAAACCATGATTGGGGGCCGGCACTGTGGCATAGCGGGTAAAGCTGCTGCCTGCAGTGCTGGCATCTCTTATGGACGCCGGTTCGAGTCCTGGCTGCTCCATTTCTGATCAAGCTCTCTGCTATGGCCTGGGAAAGCAGTAGAAGATGACTCAAGTCCTTGGGCCCCTGCACCCATGTGGGAAGACCCAGAGGAGGCTCCTGGCTCCTGGCTTTGGATTGGCACAGCTCTGGTCATCTGTGGAGTGAACCAGCAGATGGACAACCTCTTTCTCTGCCTCTCTTTCTCTCTCTGTGTAACTCTTTCAAATAAATAAATAAATCGTAAAAAACAAACAAACAACACATGGTTGTATCAGTAGACAAAAAGTTTTCCTAAATCCAAATCCAAGAGCCATTCATGAAACAGACTGCCAAGAAACTAGAAATAGAAGGCAGCTTCCACAACCTGAGAAAAAAATGTGTATGAAAAACCCATAGCAAGCATAATATTTACTGGTAAAATGCTGAATTTATTTTCCCTAAGACTGGGAACAGGAGAGATAAGAATGTCTGTTTTTACTACTACTTTTGAGTATTGTGTCAGAGGTTATAGCCAGTGCAGTAAAGGGAAAAAGAGCATCTGAATTGGAAAGGAAAGATTAAAACCCTTTATTCGTATATTGCATAATCATATGTGTGTGTGTGTGTGTGTGTGTGTGTGTGTTTGTTCCTAAGGAAAAAAAAAATCCCAAAACAGATTGACAGACCAGCATACAAATCTCAACTATATTTTTATATACTAATGACTACCCAAAAATAAATGTGATATAAATTCTATTTATAGCCGCTTCAAAATATTTATAAATTTAACAAAAGGAATATGACATATACTGAATGCTCTGGAATATTACTGAGAGAAATTTTAAGGATGTAAATGGAGAAACATACTATATTCATGAATTAGAAGTCAAAATATTGTTAGGGTGGCATTTCTCTGTAAATTGTTATATTGAGTCAGTATAATCTATAAAAGCTCAGCTAACTTAAAATAACCAGGGCTGGGCCAGACCAAAGCATGCAACTCCAGTTGGGTTTTCCACGGGAGTGACAGGGACCCTGCCACTTGAGCCATCCTGCTCAGATGGCTGCTTCCCAGGGTGTACATTATCACGAAGTTGGAATTAGAAGTGAAGTTGGGGTTTGAGCCAGGTACTCCAGTATAGGATGTGGGCATCTCTAGTGGCATTCTAACTGCTGGGCCAAACCTCTGCCCTCCAGGTAACTAATAAAGTAGAAATTGGCAGGTAAATCTTAATGTTTATATGGAAATTCAAAGTACCTGAATGGCTAATACAATTTTGGAAGAGAACAAAGTTGAAAAACTGCACAATTTCAAAAATTATTAAGTCACAATAGTGAAGGCAGTGTGATATTTTTGTAAGGATAGTCACTGGAACTAGATTGAGAGTTCAGTAATATTTCCTTGTTTATGTGATTTGTTAACTCTTTTAAAAAAATTATTTGAAAGGCAGAGTTAAGAGAGGGAGACACTGCCCAAGTGGCTGCAGCAGCCACAGCTGGACCAGATTGAAGCCAGGAGCTTCATCCAGGTTTTCCACATGGGTACAGGGGACCAAGAACTTGGGCCATCTTCCATTGATTTCCTGGGCACATGAGTAGGGAGCTGGATTGGAAGTGGAGCAGCTGAACTCGATCCAATGCCCATAAGGGATCCCAGTGTCACAAGTGGCACATTTACCCTCTGTGCCACAATGCTGACTCTGATTTGTTGGTTGTTAAAAATATTAATTTGAACAGGAGGGGGGGGGGAAAGGATCCTCCATCTGCTAGTTCACTCCTCAGATGACTGTAGCAGGCAAGTCTGGGCCAGACTGAAGAACTAGGAACTCCATGCTGTTTTCTTACATAGGTGCCAGAGGCCCAAGTATCTGGGCCATCTTTTGCTGCCTTCCCAGGTGCATTAACAGGAAACTGAATTGGAAGTTCAGCAACCAGATCTCGAACTAGTGTTCCTATAGGATGCTAGCCTTGCAAGCAATGATGTAACCAGCTCTACTACAAAACAGACCTCTGATGAATTGATTTTTGGCAAAGATGCCAAGACAGTTCAGTGGGGAAAATGATAGTTTTTTCAACAAAACCTGCTGGTAACATTGAGTATCTGTAAGTGAAAAAACCTTTTCTTTACAGTAGACACAAAAATAACTCAGTGCATCATACACTTAGATTTAAGAGCTAAAACTACAAAATATATTCAAAAATTTCTTTGTGACCTTGGACTAGACAAAAACTGTTAAACATGACACCATTGATATGGGCCATAAGAGAAATAAATTAGGGCTTGTGTTATGGGGCAGCAGATTAAGCCACTGTTTGCATTGCCAGCTTCCCATATCAGAGTTCAAGTCCTGGCTGCTCCATTAGCTATTCGGCTCCCTGCTAATGCACCTAGGAAAGCAGCAGAAGTACTTGAGCCCATGATACTCATGTGGGAGACCCTGATAGAATTCTGGGCACCTAGCTTTGGCCTAGCCCAGCCCTGGCCATTGCAGCCATTTGGGGAGTAAACCAGCAATTGGAAGATCTCTTTCTCACCTCTCCTGTATCAGTTACTCTGCCTTTCAAATAAATAGATCATTAAAAAAAAAATGGCTTCAGTTAGATGTAAAACTTTTGTACTTCAAAAGATGTCATTAAGAAAATGAAACAGGGCCAGCACCGCGGCTCACTAGGCTAATCCTCCGCCTTGTGGCGCTGGCACACCGGGTTCTATTCCTGGTCGGGGCGCCGAATTCCTTCCCGGTTGCCCCTCTTCCAGGCCAGCTCTCTGCTATGGCCCGGGAGTGCAGTGGAGGATGGCCCAAGTGCTTGGGTCCGTGCACCCGCATGGGAGACCAGGATAAGTACCTGGCTCCTGCCATTGGATCAGCGTGGTGCACCGGCCGCAGCGGCCATTGGAGGGTGAACCAACGGCAAAAAGGAAGACCTTTCTCTCTGTCTCTCTCTCTCTCACTGTCCACTCTGCCTGTCCAAAAAAAAAAAACAAAACAAAACAAAACAAAACCACACGAGGGATGGGCTTTGTGGCATTGTGGTACAGTGGGTTAAGCTACTTGGGACTCCCGCATTTCCTATCCAAGGGCCAGTTTGGGTTCCAGCTCTTCTGCTTCCAGTCCAACTCCCTGCTAATGCACCTGGGAAGCAGCAGATGATGGCTTGGGTGCTTGAGTCCCTCACACATGGGAGACCTAGTGGAGGAATTCCTGGCTCCTGATTTGGGCCTGACCCAGACTTGGCTATTGTGGCCATTTGGGGAGTGAACCAAAGGATGTAAGATCAGTCTTCCCTCCCTCCCTGTATGTCATTCTACCTTTCAAATTAATAAAGAAATCTTGAAATTAAAAAAAAGGGAAGTGATAAGACAAACTACAGATTGAGGGTAAATACTTACATGTCAAATATCTGATAAAGGAATTATACCTAGAATATATAAAGAACTCTTACAACTAAACAAGAAGACAACTCAATTTTTAGAAGTGGACAAAAATATTATATAATTATAACTATGAAATATTTAGAATAGGCAAAAATCAGAGACAAAATAGAGATTGCTGGGGAAATGGAGGATAAGTAGTTATTGTTTAGTATCTACAGAGTATTTAGAGTTAGGCAAAAGTTTTGTAAATGTATAGTGCATAGCATCATGAATATGAATTACCACTGAGTTGTATACTTAAAATGATAAATTTTGTGTATATTTTATCATTATAAAAATTAAAGGGGCTGATGATATGGTATAGTGGGCTAAGTTTCCACCTGTGGCACTGGAATCCCATATGGGCTCCAGTTTGAGTTCTGGATGCTCCTCTTCCAATCCAGCTCTTTTCTATGGCCTGGGAAAGCAGTAGAAAGTGGTCCAAGTGCTTGTGCCCCTGCACCTGTGTGGGAGACCAGGCAGAAGCTCCTGGCTCCTGGCTTCAGATCTGCCCAGCTCTGGCTGTTGCAGCCATTTGGAGAGTGAACTAGCAGGTAGAAGACTGCTCTCTGTCTCTCTCTGCCTCTAACTCTGCCTTTCAAATTAATAAGTCTTTAAAATTTTTTTAAATTTGAAATGTGGTATAGAAGACTTGAATATACATTTCATTGCATGAAAAAGTGCTAAATATCATTAGTCATTAGGAAAATGCAAATTAAAATGACAATAAATGTCCATTGTATACCTTCTGGAATGGCTTTTATCAAAAAGACTAGCAGGTGCTGGCGCTGTGGCATAGCGGGTAAAGCCGCTGCCTGCAGTGCCCACATCCCTTATGGGTGCCGGCTTGAATCCTGGCTGCTCCACTTCTGGACCAGCTCTCTGTTATGGCCTGGGAAAGCAGTAGAAGATGGCGCAAGTCCCTGGGCCCCTGCACCTGTGTGGGAGACCCAGAGGAAGCTCCTGGCTCTGGATTGGCACATCTGCCAGTGCGGCCATCTGGGGAGTGAATCAGCGGATGGAAGACCTCTACCTCTGCCTCTCTGTAGCTCTGCCTTTCAAATAAATAAATAAACCTTAAACAAACAAAAAAGACTAGGGGCCAATGCTGTGGCACAATAGGTTAATCCAGCACTAGCATCCCATATGGACGCTGGTTCTAGTTTTGGCTGCTCCTCTTCTGATCCAGCTTTCTGCTTATGGCCTGGGAAAGCAGTGGAGGATGGTCCAAGTGTTTGGGCCCTTGCACTGGCGTTGGAGGCTCAGAAGAAGCTACTGGCTCCTGGCTTCGGATCTGCACAATTCTGGCCATTGCGGCCATTTGGGGAGTGAACCAGTGGATGGAAGACCTTTCTCTCTGTGTTTACCTCTCACTGTCTGTGACTCTACCTCTCAAATAAATAAATAAAATCTTAAAAAAAAAAAAAAAAGTAGAGAGAGAGAAAGAGACAGAGAGATCTTCCATTTGCTGGTTCACTTTCCAAGTAGCTGCAGTGTCCGGAGCTGGGCTGATTCGAAGCAAGGAGCCAGGATTTTCTTTTGGGTCTCCCATATGGGGAGACCAAGCACTTGGCCATCTTCTTCTGCTTTCTCAGGCAGATTAAGCAGGGAGCTGGACTGGAAGTCGAATAACCAAGACTGGAACTGGTGCCTGTGTGGGAAGCCAGCTCTGCAGGAGGTGGTGTTACACCCTACACCTGTGTGCTGGCCTCTGGCAGTGTCCTTTCTTCTTTCTGCCCTCCTGCTGCCTCAGTTCTATTCAGCTCAGTTGTGCAGCAGGTCTTTTTCTTTTGGATCTCTTTCCTTCCTCCCACTTACCTGCTTGGTGAATCTTCTGCCTCACACTTTTGTTATTTCCTCGCTGAGCTGAGCACTTAAATTTTCTACCTTGCTCAGAAAGGTTTTATAATTCACCCTTTAACTGTTCTGGTGCTGATCCTCCTGACTCTTAACACAGTCTCTCAACTGTTTCTGTCCCTTTTCTCTTGGAGATATGGTTTAGAGTACCATCTGCAAGTATCATCTCTTTTTTTTTTTTTTTAACTGTATTTATTTGAATTTATTTGAGAGGTAGAGTTACAGACAGTGAGAGGGACAGATAGAGAGAGAGGGCTATTTTTTTTTTTTTTTTTTTTTTGACAGGCAGGGTGGATAGTGAGAGAGACAGACAGAGAGAAAGGTCTTCCTTTTGCCGTTGGTTCACCCTCCAAAGCTGCCACGGCTGGTGCGCTGTGGCAGGCGCACCACACTAATCCGAAGTACAGGAGCCAGGTGCTTCTCCTGGTCTCCCATGGGGTGCAGGGCCCAAGGACCTGGGCCATCCTCCACTGCACTCCCTGGCCACAGCAGAGAGCTGGCCTGGAAGAGGGGCAACCGGGACAGAATCCGGCGCCCTGACTGGGACTAGAACCCGGTGTGCCGGCGCTGCGAGGCGGAGGATTAGCCTATTGAGCCGCAGCGCTGGCCAAACAATGTCTTTTAAAGATATATTTATTTATTTGAAAGTCATGAGTTTTTACACACACACACACACACACACACACACACATACTGGAGGGGGGAGGGAAGATCCTCTCTCTCTACTGGTTCACTCCCCACATGGCTGCAACAGCTGGGTCTGGGACAGGCCGAAGCCAGGAGTCAGGAGCCTCCTCTAGATCTCCCATGAGGGTGGCAGGGGCCCAGGGGCCCAGGGGCCCAGACACTTGGGCCATCATCTGCTGCTTTTGCAGGCACATTAGCAGGGAGTACGTTGGAAGTGGATCAGCTGGGTCTCCAGCCTGCACCTATATAGGATGCTGGCATTGCAGGTGGCAGCTTTACCTGCTACACCATGACAGTGGCCCCAGGAATTTACATTTTTAAAAGCAACGCTTGAAGATTCTGGTTTGTAACCAGGTTTGGGAAACACTGTCTTAAACTCCATATTTTCCTGACTTCTTATGTTTTGTTTTAAAGATTTATTTTATTTATTTGAAAGAATTACAGAGAGAGGGAGAGAGAGGGGGAGAGAAAGAGAGAGAGAGAGACTGACTGACTTCCATCTGTTGGTTCACTCCCCAGATGACCACAATAGTCAGAGCTGAGCTGATCTGAAGCCAGGAGCCAGGAGCTTCTTCCTGGTCTCCCACATGGGTGCAGGGGCCTAAGCACTTGGACCATCTTCTGCTACTTTCCCAGGCCATAGTAGAGAGCTGGATTGGAAGTGTAGTAGCCAGTACTCAAACCGGCACCCATATGGGATGCCGGTGCTGCAGGGCAGGGCTTTAACTTGTTATGCCACAGCGCCGGCCCTGAAAGGGCTTTAACTTGTTATGCCACAGCGCCGGCCCTGAATTCTTACGTTTTTTAAACATCTTTCATTTGATTTTTATTATATCTATACTTCTTCCTTATAGGTATACTTATACCTTATATCTGTACTTCTTCCTTCATATCCTCGAGAAAAACTTTTGGAAGGCTAGGTTGACAAGACTTCTATTGCTTTATTTGATCTTTGCTATGAGAATTTGTTTCTTAACATCTTAGTCATAATTCTATAATAAATTATTCATGACCAAAAGTCCTTTTTTTAATGAGCATGGAAGATTTAGTGGTTTATTTCATATTTCATTATAGGATTTAGCGAACTGATACATTTTAATTTTTGTTAAGAAAAATTTTAATCATTTCACTTAGGTATTTTTCTTGTTAGAAGAATATGATTTGCCAATATCGGAAAGAATAAACTTCATAGTTTTGACAGAAGAGAATATTCAAATATTTTCAACAGTAATAACCTGGGGTTCATACTAACACATAGTATTATAGCCATTTAAAAGAATGATAAGAATATAAAAAAGATTGTTGTGGAAGAGTGAAAAAGCATTTCTAGAACATTAGGTCTAAAATAAGCTATTTTTGTTTAAACTAGCCCCCCCCCAAAAAACACAAAATTATAGATATGTATGTGTTTGTATGTGGATAGTTTAAGATATCTAAGGATAGAAAATAAAATTCTGATATTATGTTGATAATATCAAATAATAAAAAAATTTATTACATGTACGATTCCACTGAGGAAATGGGTTGCAGATGTGAGGAAAGAGATTTTGCAGTTTTTACTTGCTATATTTTTATATTTAATATTTAATGAACAGGGGCCAGCGCTGTGGCTCACTTGGTTAATCCTCTGCCTGCGGTGTCAGCATCCCATATGGGCAGTGGGTTCTAGTCCTGGTTGCTCCTCTTCCAGTCCATCTCTCTGCTGTGGCCCAGGAAGGCAGTGGAGGATGGCCCAAGTGCTTGGGCGCCTGCACCCACATTGGAGACCAGGAAGAAGTACCTGGCTCCTGCCTTTGGATCCGTGTAGCTCCAGCCGTGGCGGCCATTTTGGGGATGGTGACCATTTAGGGGGTGAACCAACGGAAGGAAGACCTTTCTCTCTCACTATCTCACTCTATCTGTCAAATAAATAAAAAATATTTGATGAACATAGGATTTTTTAACTTAAAAAGTTATGCAACCACTGGCTTTTAAATGTGGTATGATATTCATCCTCCCTATGAAATATCATGTTCTTCACTCCTGTCGAACGTCAAAGAAGAACAACGAAAAGTACTAGGAATTCAGAGAACTTACTGCAAATCAAAACCAAAAAGAATGGTAGAAGCTTTTGCAGGCGTATTAGAAATAGTAGGAGCCCTCACTGGAGCAGTAGCTGATCCACTCAGGTGACCTTTTGAGCATACTTTTGCCTCCTTGGGTTGTTTGGTCCGCAGTTTGCATTCATTGATCAGTGAGTTGATTTGCACTCAAACCCACCGACAGCAATGAATGTTGAGTGCAGCCATCAGTGTTTCCAGTTGTTGTGGTTGTCTTGGTTTTCTCTGACTCTTGTTTTTCCTTTTTCATGCTGGTTCTGTGAAGTCTGTGCCTGTGTCTTAGTATCCAGCCACCGTATGGTTGAGGGCCCACATCATGATAGATAACATTGACAGTAGCTTGGGGAGGCTCTTAAAGGTGGAGCAGCGAAGGAAGTAGCTCCTGGAGAACCTCACATGTATCTCTGTGATGGCACAGGCGGTGCTTGATACTGATACCGTAAACCAGTGCCCAGGAATACTGCTTCTGCCTCTCTGTTTTGAACTGAGAAGTATGAGTGCTTTTTTCAAGGTAAACTAGCACGGATTTTGTTTGGAGTGAAGTAATAATAGCTAGTATATATTGAACATTTGCTGTTAGGAGTGTCTGAAACAACTTAGATATTATCTCGGGATCTCAGAATTTCATGAGATAGGTACTCTTATTTCCCCTACTCTGTATGTGGGAAAACTGAGACACTTGCTAAGAGTCACAGAGCTAGTTTCAGGGGGTTGAGTCGATATTTATCCTAAATCTGTCTGACCGCAGATCTGACTTTTCTTGAATTTAACAGACATTTATTTATATAAGCATATGTGGTGATGAAAATAGTAAGACAATGGTTTATACTGTTGGTGAGCTATCAAAACTAAACTACGTTAACTGTAACTGGAGGCAGAATATGATAAAGCTTTGTAGATGTGGGATAGTTTTGTGTTGTTTTGCTATTAAATTCTCCCCTTGACTCTTATTAAAAATTTTGAGGGAGTATAACAGAAATGGATGTGTGAATAAAACATTTAACTGAGTTTTATTTCAAAATGAAATACATATTTTTAATAAATCTCTCCCCACTACATCCTATTTCTCAGTAGAACGGCATATTTCTAGGAGACATTTAAGTTTATTAGGTATTGTCATGGAACTGTCCTTACCTTTTTGAAATGAAAAAACAAAAATCAAGGAATAATGGGTAATAGAAGTGGAAGGAAGCTTTTTAAAAAATGCACTGGAACACTTTGAGAGGAGGGGGACAGGCCACACAATTATTTCTGGTGATCTCACATGATATGTGAAGGTACAGTCTGCCTCTTTGCTTCAGTAAAGTAGTGTTGTCTGTAAGGACCCTAAGGTACAGTCAACGGTCGGTGGTTTTTTCAAATCCCAAACTCACCGACAGCGTTGAATGTTCATTGGAGTCCTCTAACAGCCGGCCTGGGAGCCCTTCTTCAGCTTGCACCTGAATCCCAAGAGCCCATAAACAGTGAGACCACTGCTAGTGGCTCTCATGTTCTTTTCCAGGTTTCAAGTTCAGAGTACTTTTATTTTGATAATCAATTTGCATACAGTTAGAGATGAGATTGCAGTGACTTATTACAAGCAGGCTTTGAATAGTATTTGTAATTAAATTGTATATTAGCTAAATTGTATATTAGCATTTTAAATATTAAAGAGCAGAGGTAAAGAAGATATTAACACTTATTGGGGACCTGTGTACTAAAATTTTTTGTATGTTTGATCACATTAAACTTTCAGTCCACATTTTCTTTATGAGAAAACCGAGTCTTAAGCAGATGATTTGCTAGGAGCCAAGGTTATAAGCCAGATTTTGAATACTAGACTTTATGATTCCTATGCTCCTGTCTCCTCCCTTGACTGTCAAAAACTGTTGAAATCTGTAGCTAAAACCTTCACTGCATCAGAGGTAAGCCAAGCATGTAAATTTCTTCCTCTTGTTTACCTATAATAATAGCAGTTAGGTCTGTAGGTAAAATGTTCTTTCATAATTGATAATCTCCCTAGCTAAGATCCTGAATGACTAACTTAACATAGAGGTGGCAATGATAGGACACAAGTTATTTTTCATGCTAAAAAGGCAAAAAAATAAAAATGGAAAACAAAACAACTATGTACTAGTGGAAAGCCTGCATTTCTTCTAAGAGCACAGAGAGTAATTACAATATCAGAAATCTTTTTCTATTGAATGTCCGTAATGGGAAAAATCTAGGAACAGAATTAATAATATGGATCTTTTCAGAATGTTGGATTTCTAAAGGCCAGGAGTGGGGTCCAGATCTGGGCATGCTCAGTAGGAACAGAGCTAACAGAACTGCTGACTGAATTGAAATTTAACTCCAACTATGGATAGTTCTTGCCATTTGCTTTAGGTTTACATTTTAAAGGCTGTTCTCAAATTTTTTTAACGCATTCAAGTGGTATTATAATAAAAAAATATCAACCACTGATAATCTGATTTGAATGTAAATTGTTTACATTCCACATAAGTTAAATTATTTTACTTTGGTCAAAGCTCTCCAGTTAGCCAGCTTTGTTGAATTTTTATGAAAGCAAATTGCATACAAACAAGTTAAGCAATTGTGTAGTGTTTTTAAAACTCTTTAATATATATTTTAAACAGTTCTTCCCCTTGGTCTAATATGAAGTGATGTCAAGCCTTATTTTAATTGGGTAAATATTCAAACTTTAGAACTGTACTAATTTTGGCGAAACCAGATCATTAGATACCAACAGAATACCATTCCTTAAATACATAGCATTCTAAGAATACCTTTCATAGACTTAAAAACTACAGAAGAATGAAAGGTAAGTTTCTGGAATGACACAGAGGTGTTTCCCATTGTGTTTTAAGATAATTAACTTTCATGGCATAAAGCTTTTCATCATCCTCATTCCTTTTATTTGTTTTAAATCCTTTAGTTTCTATCATCAAGTTTAAGGTACATATTGGCTGTTTTGTGAGAGTTTGGCTAAGGGATTTATGTATTAAGTGCAATGATCAAATCTAAGGTTTAAAAAAAGTCAAGGTTTAAATTATCTAAGAGTTAGATAATAGCTGATCATAAGTTGATCTGTTTAATTCTTGACTTAGATTGGTTTTGAGTTGTCAGAACTTACCATGCCCTTCCTTTCCCATTTCACTTACCTCCTTTTCCAGAGATATGAAATGTTGAAACCACATTTTTTTTCCCCAGACTTGGAGATATAAATGTTATCATAGTCCTCCTGAGTCCTCTTGATATACTTGGAAGGAACAAGAAGCATAAACTAAATTAAACAATATATTTGAGTGATTAACAGCTAAGAGAAGAGTCATTATCTTAAGCTCTCTGCCTAGACACTTGCCAAGCATTGTGCACGGAACATCACTAAAGTGTATGGAGATAAATTCCTAAATTATAAAGATGACAACAGCATGTCAGAATGAATCCGTGTGTGTGTGTGTGTGTGTGTGCTTTTAGCCAAACTGTGCTTTCTGCTTTATCCTTTTATTGATTCAATTGTAAAATACCTGGGATCTGTTTTTTTATTTATAGATAGCCCTTGCCTTCTTAGGACCTAGTATCTGCTCAGGGAACTAAACATAGACACAGCTGATGGCAAGAGGGTGACCTCTATGCTAATGGAGTGGTGTGAACTATGTTAAGGGAGCAGAGAGAAAAGGATTAATTCTACGTGGAAAGGCCTGGCGAGGTATATCTATGTAGGTCACATCTGATCTGGGCTTTAGAGATTTAGTTGAATTTTTACTAGACTGAGGAGGAAAGATATTCTAACAAAGAGAAGACTATGCACAGGAAATCCCAGAGGCAGGAACACTAGATAATGGTGAGTAGTGAGAAAAATATCAGAATATCAGTTAACTCATTTTTTTTCCATTTTTAGTGTTTAAATTTCATTTCAAAAAACAGGTTTGTAGTCTGCAATTGTGACAATTGAAATCTGTGCTAATGAACTGCAGTCTACTACAGTTCTACACGGTTAGCTCATTTTTAAAACGTGAAACAAATGGCATTTGTCCTTCCTGTAGCAGCAGCTGTGGAAATCATATGAAGTTATGTTTGTGAAAGAGCATATGAATGTAACTGCTGAGTCCTTCTCCCATTCTCTCCACTAATATGTACCTGAAACAAGATAAATGAAGTGTCTTACAGTAGGCTTTTCCAAATTGGGTGGTTCTTTGGCTTTCTTTCTTTTCTTCAAAATCATCATATTTAAAAATTTTCATATATATTGAATGTTTGGAAAAGCAGTAAAGAGTCAGACTTTGGAAACACAATTGTGACTTTGAAATTTGCTTACTATATGAACTTGGACAAATTACTAACCTCTCTGTTTTCTTTATGTGTAAAATGGAGTTAATTATAGTATTTACCTCAGAGAAGGTTATGAGTACTAAATAAATTAAAATGTCAAGTGTTTAAAACAGTACATGAGACATTAAAATATTTTTGTAATTTCAATATAATTTAAATTGTTAAAATTATTTATAACCTTTAATACTAAATAAAATTGCATATTTTATTCAAAATTTAATTTCCATCCATTACGCCAGTGTAGAAATCTATTCTTTTATAGTTAAAACAATAGCTGACCAGCTCTTGCATTGTATATATGCATATGCATTTGTATGTTTTAAAGATTTTTTTTTTGAAATTAGTGCTTTACTGCTTTATTTGAAAGGTTTTCATCCCCCTTAAACTTTAATTCCTTAGTCTGTAAAATCAGATTGTTGGTACCCAACTTATTGATTGTGATGATTAAGTTAGATAATGTAAAAAAAAAAAAACCCTATCGAAATTTATGGATTGTCTCCCTCAGTACATACACATAAATTTTGTAAGAAGCTTTGTGTATGGAATCTAAGAAAACTCCCTGCCCACCCTAGTGGTTTGGTCTGTGAAATTGTGTTACTGCTTTTGAAAATTTTGATCTTGGTCTTGTTAGACCTGGCTGTTTACCAGTTGTAGTGCATGCTCTTGCCGCCATCAAGTCACACCCTTCCTTGTAACATAACCTATGCCGTGTAACCCAACAGTGATGGTTCCTGCAACAGTAGTTATTTAGACTTCACCAGCCCTTTATTAGTAACTCTGGGTTTATACAGTTAAAACTTCTAAAAGAAGTCCACAAGTGAAAAGTTACACAAATATCCCAGTGAATTCAGCTCTCATTTTGCAAGTGTCCCACCTCTCTCTACTTCCTCAGCAGACATTTTGGTTTGGACCCGATTCCAGCATTTTGACTACTAGTTCTGATTTAAAGTGAGGCCAAAACAATGTGTTGTTTCAAGGCAGTACTCTTTAAAGGAGGCTGTTGAATCCAGAGTGCTTATTTGAATATTGTGAAAGAGGAAGAAAATAAAGAGAGCCTCAAAGATTGTGGTTATATGTGGGATTGTCAGTTATTCTTATATTTAGTCTGCTTGTGGTTTCACTAGGGAGTTGAGAGGTAGGATTAGAAATTTAAATTCAGCCATTTGAAACATTTTACATTTTGACGTGTAACTTTCTGTCAGTTACTTCAGATATTTGGTATGAATCTGGACTACAAGAGGAAGTGGGCAGTCCACATATCTGAGACAGCAAATTGGCCTAGTGCTTAGGCAGTATTTCTCTTTAAATGAGACACATACTTCAAAGCTTTCAAAAGATGGCAAGGATTGCCTGAGTTTTCATGTGCTTAGGTTATTATTTTTCTGTAGTATTTTGCAAACCCATAGGAAGCAACACTTTATTTTTCCACAGTAAATTAATTTACAGTATGTTGATAATCAGTGAACAAGTCTTCTGAGTAACTGTGTACCAGGGATGATTGTTCAGCCAAGCTGAGTGCAGAAGTGATTTGGGACTATAAAGCCATGAAAGAAATAGGGGCTGGTACTGTGGTGTAAGGGTTAAAGCTGCCATCTGCAGTGCCTGTATCCCATGTGGGTGCCGGTTCAAGACCCAGCTGCCCCACTTCCGACCCAGCTTCCTGCTAATGTGCCTGGGAAAGCAGCAGAGGATGGCCTAGGTACTTGGGCCCTTGCACTCATGTGGGAGACCTGGAGGATGCTCCTGGCTTTGCATCAGCCCAGCTCCAGCCGTTGCAGCCATTTTGGGAGTGAACCAGCAGATGGAAGATATCTCTGTCTCTTCCTCTCTGTAACTCTGCCTTTCAAATAAATAAATAAATCTTCAAAAAGAAAGAAAGAAATAGGAACTAAAATCATGCAGTAGCTGATATTCATGGGAATTAAGGAATGAATTATAGAGAATCTTGGGTTTTATTGCATTGCATGAAAAGTGTTGTCAGATTTTAAGTCTTTCCACTCCCAGCAAGCATGTGTTTTGGAAAAAACAGTTAATAAAATATGCAGGAAGAGTCATCAAAGGACTCAATCTTTCTTTTTTAGACTAATGAAACCCTGGTAATATATCAGTGATATAAAACTGTATTTCTGGGAGCCAGCGTTGTGGCGTAGTGGGTTGTAAAGCCACTACGTGCAGTGCTGCTGGCATCCCATATGGGCACTGGTTCTAGTCCCTGTCGTTCCACTTCTTATCTAGCTCTCTGCTATGGTCTAGGAAAGCAGTGGAGGATGGCCCTAGTCTTTGGGCCCCTGTACCTATGTGGGAGACCTTCAAGAAGCTCCTGGTTCCTGGCTTAGGATCGATGTAGCTCTGGCCATTGTGGCCATCTGGGGAGCGAACCAGCAGATGGAAGACCTCTCTCTCTCTGCCTCTGCCTCTCTATAGCTCTGCCTTTCAATTAAATGAATAAATCTTTATTAAAACAACTGTATTTCTAGGGCTGATGTTGTGGCACAGCAAATTGTGCCTGTGATGCTGGCATCCCATATGAGTGCTGGTTCAAGTCCTGGCTATTCTGCTTCCTATCCAGCTCTAATGTCCTTGGAAAACAACATAAGATGTCCAAGTACTTGGGCCCCTGCTACCCATGTGGGAGACCTGGATGGAGTTCCAGGCTCTCTGCTTCAGCTTGAACCAGCCCCTGCTATTGCCACCATTGGGGGAATGCACTAGCTAATGGATGATCTCTGTCTCTCCCTCTGTCCCTCTTTCTCTGGAATGCTGCCTTTCAAATAAAAATAAATATTTTTTTAAAAAAATCTTTGAATCTTTGTAAAATACGGTATCTTAAAATCTTTATTTTATTTATTTATTTTTAAAGATTTATTTATTTATTTGAAAGGCAGCATTCCAGAGAGGCGGCGAGAAGAAGGGAGGGAGGGAGAAAGGGAGGGATAGATAGAGGTAGAGGTCGAGGTCGAGGTGCAAGGACCCAAGCACTTGGGCCATCTTCCTGCTTTCCTGAGTCATAGTAGAGAGCTGGATCGGAAGAGGAGGCGAAGGCTTAGCCTATCACGCTACAGCACCAGCCCCAAATAAATAAATCTTAATGACAACAACAGCAACAATACTGTTTCTTCCTCTGACCCATTTTAGTTTATTGGGTTAAATTTAATCATATGGCATTTTATATTCTAAAAACTTGGACAGCTCTGTTATTATAAAGTTTATACTGCCTCCAGTGGATTATAGCTTTTGTTGGACATTGTAAATTATGGATAAGTAGATGTGTTCAATAACTATTTTTAGTTACTTACAGCATTTGGGGAAAATTAATTTTGATGTTGCCTTTTCTGGCTATTTCCAGAAAATAGTTGAATCTTTGTAAAATATGGTATCTTAAAACCTTTATTTTATTTATTTATTTATTATTTTTAAAGATTTATTTTATTTATATGAAAGAGAGGTAGAGACAGAGAGAGAGGTCTTCCATCCGCTGGTTCACCCCCCAGATGGCTGCAACGGCTGGAGCTGTGCTGATCCGAAGCCAGGAACCAGGAGTTTCTTCTGGGTCTCCTATGCGGGTGCAGAGGCCCAAGGACTTGGGCCATCTTCTACTGCTATCCCAGGCCATAGCAGAGAGCTGGATCGGAAGAGGAGCAGCTGGGACTAGAACCGGCACCCATATTAGATGCCGGCGCTTCAGGCCAGGGCTTTAACTCGCTGTGCCACATGCTGGCCCCAAAACCTTTATTTTTAAATGTGTTTTCTGTAGAAAAACTATATTTAGATTTACCTCTTTTCATAAATAACATAATACTATACTAACTTGGATAAATTTAATAATGATATATTGCTTTTAGACTTAATGTGTTTTATTGCTAACCTGAAATTGTACAATCCTGATGTTTGAATGAGAATAGTAATTGTAGATGGGAGGTAAAAAAA